TGCACAAACTTCTCAGCTCTACCCTGAAAGGGCTCCTCCACTCCCCCTAAAGGCATTAAGGAGGGAGCAAGTCACCCTAAATAGGGCGGCTGGGCGCGAATCAGCGGATGCAATAAGTGCGGAAAAATGCGAGCATTTTGCCACTCGTATCGCCACTAAATAAGTCCTAATAAAGGCTCTTAAGAGTGTTCAGTCAGATTCGGAGTTACTGATCCTCCAGCATCACTCTAGATGTCTCTTCTGGTGCTTCATCTCCTGGAGCTCCTCGGTAAACCAGGGAGCTTTCCTGGATCCACCACCATGAAGAGGTCGCAAAGGCGCAATCCGGTCCAGTGCCCCAGATGCCGCCCTATTCCAGGCAGCCACCAGGGACTCAGCCGGACTGTGGACAAGGGAGTCAGGTATCTCCCCAAGCTCCTACTGGAACCCTTCAGGGTCCATTAGTCCCAACACTGCAAGCGGTTGTCTACCATCTTTACTTTTCTTTGGGAAAGGCATAAAAACACATGTAAGTCAGAGGTGGGATTCACTGACCTTCCCTACCGGTTTGCAAATGGGAGCGCACGCACCACTTCTGCACATGCGCACAGCCTACTGTGCATGCACAGTAGTCATGCAGTATGACCAGGCGGTTGGGCGGGGCTTCCTGCAGTCACCGCTACCGGTTTGCATGATCTGGACAGAACTGGCTGAATCCCACCACTGGTGTAAGTGCCAGCAAGACATGGGAGATTACAGAGCAAATACAATCTTGGTTCTCCAACATGACCAAAAATGTCACTTGGCATTTGGTGACTTGGCAGAGGTGCAGTATTACATTGCACATCACATGCCTATTTTTGATCCGCACAGAATGAACCATCTTTTTTTTCCCATTTCATTGTGCTCTACATTGGTTTAGAGTTCTCTCTTTATAAATTCTTTTAAATTACACAGAGCCAGTTTAATGTGGTGGTTTAAAGTATCAGATTAGAAACTGGAAAAACCCTTTTCCCCAACCAGATGTGATTAAATAATTTCTAACTATTTTTTTTTAAAATCCAGTTTTGCACAATAAATTAATCCTGATTCATGTTTATTAAAAAGAATATTTTTAAACACAAACCTTTTAAAAACACTTATTATGCTACACCCCTGAAAAGCACTAGCCTCTTTGTCCACTCACGGAAGGACAGGATATTACAAGACATTAAAATAATGCAGAGAACCATCACTACATTACCTTAATGCAGTCATGGAGTTCTCTTAATGTTCTGTATTAGCCCAGATTTAAAGTTACCTGCGTTCTGTGCTAAACTGACATCCTATATTTTAGTTGTGAGTTGATCTCCTATTTATTCAACAGTGGATTTTGAGTGCTTGAATTAATGTTTTGCAAATGTGTTTGGGAGGGGATACGTTATACATTTGGCTAGCTAATTAAAGTTTATTCAACAGTGTTGGATACAGTTGGCTGGGGAAAAACGTGTTACTAAACACAAAAAAAGTTTAAATAGAAAAAAGTGTAGGAAAGTACTCAGAGACTGAGAGGTAAAGAAAATTAATACCAGGAGACTGAAGTATCATATAAATAAAATAAATGTCCAAATATCTCTGCTGTTGTATTGTTGGTTCTCCCAAAGTAATATTTAAGCTTCTTTCTCTGTCCATTTACTAGTATATCTTTGTGTTATTATTTTTGTCTATTTAAAAAAAGATTTTAAATATTTTTTAAAGACTAAATTTTAAATACACTCCTGATTTCAACCCCCCCTTTTTTTTTTGCCCTGAAACCATTCTCAATCTGCACATAGCATCTGATTAGGAAATGGCTTTTACAAAAGAGGAACCAGTATATGACTATTTAATTACAAGCATACACTAGTGACCAAGTCTTCTCCTTATCAAATAGTTCAAAGAGAATGTAGCAACTTTATGAAGTAAATTTGCAGAAGAGCCACAAGATCAATTCCTCTCAATGAACTGGAAAGAGGAAAACTAACATGCCCTGATTTTAAATCAACATTCAACAAGAATCATGCTTATGGAAATAGTGTTACAATAAAACTACAGTGTGACTATCAAGAGGGCCTGAATTTACTCTTATCAATACCCCTTCGATGGCCTCATTTATATTGGAAAAGATATGTCTGTAAAAGTAAACTGGACTTTGTTGTTATTGATCTCACAGATCTCTCTGACATTACACTGCAAAACCAGACACACTGTTGTAGTTTTTTTAGTGTTATTAGTGTTTTAAGATAGTAGGAGTGCTGGTGACACAGTGGTCAGTATGCAGTATTGCAGGCAAACTCTGCTCACAGACTGGAGTTCGATCCTGATGGGCTCAAGGTTTACTCAGCCTTCCATCCATCCAAGGTCAATAAAATGAGGACCCAGATTGTTGGGGGCAATATGCTGACTCTCTAAACTGTTTAGAGTGCTGTTAAGCATATGAAGTTATATGGAAGTTTAAAGGCTATTGCTATTTCTAGTTTAAATATTGGCTATTCATTTAAACTAGATAGAGGTTATTATATTGTACTCCTATATCTGCATTGGAAAAGTTGGAGATCACTTTTGTTTTATATTTTTGGTGTATTTTTTTGGTCACTTTTTAATCTGTTCTATTATTCCTTTTCTCTGTTTCCCCCTTTATATTAGTTTATATTTTAATGCTTATTAAATATAATGAGGATATTTGTTTTTAAAAGCAACTTATTAAACTGATTTCTAGCCTCAAACAAAAGATGTGGCTTTCCTCCAAGGTTTTAAGTATCCCAAGATCTTTTTATTATTTTAAGTTTCTAATCCTGATGTTGCACATAATCTTAAAAATACTTAGATGATGAAAAACTCAGGAGGCAAGACAAGTTTTAGTGTTCCTGCTAGCCATTCCCCCAGTCAATCTATATATATAAAAGCGAAAACCACTCACACATTAATCACGAAATCTCCAGAACCGTAAAGCCTACAAACTTAAAATTTGCCACGTATGTTCCTCTTGGCTTCTAGGTGCTCACTAAGAAAGGGTTTTTTGAAATGACCATCAGAGCATTAGTATTTCCTATATTATTATAACACTCTCTGATACTAATTAGTTAGATGTTCTACTCCCTCTCCCAACTTGAAAATAACTCTGGAGAGAATGGGATAGCATAGGACAGTCTTCTGTGGGGCAAGCCTCATGGAGAGATGGGGCTAGAAAGCCTGAGGGAGAGAAGGGGATAAGATAGGGGAGGATTCAAGCTGTAAGTGTCAATTTATCAAGCCCGATCACATAGTTTCGTAGCGAAGCACGGGGATCCAGCTAATTGTAAATCCTTATGAGTCTATTTACTTTATATGATTAGATTGCTGGCAATTGTGGCATCCAGTGTAATTGTGCTTAGCATAAAGTGTGCATGGCTAGCTTTCCACAGTAGGACACTGGAACAGGGCATTAATAATGGTACTCTTTTCCAAAGAAAATACTCTCCTGGATAACAGACTTCCATTTTCATACAGAATAGGGTAACCTACTGGTAACCTAATCTGCCCTTTGAGAAGTTCCCTATTTTTTAATTTTAAAATAAGTCCAGTATATGTATTCCATATAATGTATGCATTTGCCTTACAGATGAACATTGACAATATTTTTTTCTTAAAATAAATTGTCGCATCCTGCTACGCAGCACTATATTGTAAAGCGCTAGCCCTGACCACTGTTGTATAATCCTTTGTGATGGCCTACATATCCTCCATGTTTGGAGTCTTATGAGTCAAACGTCCATGCTGGAGTCTTATGAGAGGTTGTATGTTGGAAGTGATTAGAGTATTCTGTGAGTACTTTGGCAAATTCTCTGGTATTCATATGTATTAAGAATTCCTGCATTAAAACTATTCATCCATGTTAATAGAGATAATAAGTAGCAGGCAGTGTTTATATTTTTTTTAATCAAGGAGGGAGGGAGGGAGGAAGGCTTGACAATTAGCTTTATTTGGAGAGAGGGGTTATGATTTAATTGACATTTAAGTGAATGGGCAAAATCCAGTAACAGTAACAGCCATCCAATGCATCTAGAACAGCAGGGAAACTAAATGGCTAAAACCTTTCTCCCATTAGACTATTTGAATGAACTTGATAAATACAGCTGTTTACACATTGAAATAAGTTAGTTTCTCCTCCAGAACACCCTTCCAACACCTCCTGCCAAGTAAGTGATGTGTTTAAACACCGACAAGCAGCCTGCATGCACTGATGAATTTTCTCTTAACATACCTCCTTAATTCATCAGATTTATATCTTGACCTTCCTTCAAGCAAGACAGCATACATATCACTCCCTCATCTAATTTTCCTCCACCACCCCCCTATGAATTAGAGTTGCTCTGGAGTCAGGCAGCCTTAAATCTAATAAATGAATGAATGAATGGGTTGACATCATGATCAACTCAAAGCCACTCGGTGGGTTCCATGACTGAAGATGGATTTTTGAGTCTTCTCCGTGCTAATCTAATGCCTAAAGAACTACACGGCACTATGTACATGCCCTTTTAAGATCCAAGATGAAAAAAGATAGCCATGCGAAATATTTCTTAAAATGCCCAGAACACAAATATGGGTATCTATGGAGATTCTCAGTCATCCAGGTCATGGTTGTCCCAAAGGTGCTTTTTCAAGAGGTAACTGGACTTTCTGGTTTTTCTTTGAAGACGTTTCACTTCTCATCCAAGGAGCTGAAGAAGAAGAAGTGAAGAAGCTTCTTGGATGAGAAGCGAAACATTTTCAACGAAAAACCAGAAAGTTCAGTTGCCTCTTGGAAAAAAGCACCTTTGGTACAAATATGGGTAGATTGGAACACGGAACTTAGTGACATTATCTGTCTGTGAAATAACGAAGATTTTAAATTAAAAAATGTTATTTCACCAGTCATTTTGTGAATAACCTTTTCTGGATATTCATTTCTATTGGAAATAAAAATAAAGATCAGATTAAAAAAACCAAAGTTATAGGAGGAAAAAATAAAAATTTCAAAGCCATTTTATTACATATAAAACTTTATTAAAATAATTCTAATTGATATCAAACAGGGAGATTCTAATGTGTTTTTTTCTTTTTGGCTGGAATGAGACTTTTCTTTGCAGATTTGCTTTGAGTTTTTGGTTCGTAGAGTGCATTTCGTAAAAATCTCGCTGCCGCGCCTTTATCCAGTTTGGCAGCTTTTTTCCTTTCTTCAATCTCTTTTACTTTGTTCATGTATGTCCTTATTCTCTCCTGAAACACATGAAAATATTAAAAAGCACGTTTCCTATCATACCAAAAAGAGCAGAAATATTTTCAAACTCAAGTCAGCTGGAAAAAAAAAGCCAATAGTGAAGTTATTGAGACGTTCGAGCAGTATTTCAAAATAACAGTGGAGGCTTTCAAATGTTGAGTAAGTATTATCAGGAATACATTAAAAAATTCAAGTGAGATGCCCTTTCCTGGAGTTGTATGAGGAGGTTTCATTGGTTGCATGAGTGAACAATTCTCTGGCTGAACCCATATCCACAGCAATCTCCTAGTGCCTAGGCCAGTGATGCCCAAACCAGAAGTCCAGCTGGCCGGTGAGCATGCATGTGCCAGAAACCAGAAGAGCAACTGGGGACGGCGTGCCCGCCCACAGAGGGGGCTGTGTGCCACCTCTGGCACGCATGCCATAGGTTCACCATCACGGGCCTAGGCCAAGGGTATCAAACTCGTGTTGTCACGGCAGCATCACGTGACGTATCGGGACTTTTCCCCCCTTCACTAAACCAGGAGTGGGCGTGGCCAGCGGGTGATACATCCAGCCCGCGAGTTTGACAGCCCTGTCCTAGGCAGTGCAACCTGTGAAGTGTCCATGTTATTGAGCTACTCTCTCTTTCTTTCAGATAACCCAAATCTCAAACGTGATTGCTAATATAGCAGATAGGAAGGTCATTTGACTCTGCTTAGGTGTTTCTTTCAATTGAAGTTCGCCAAAATAATCAAAAGGCAGGTTTTAAAACTACCAACCAAATCAAATTGTTGTAACCTAAGCAAATATGACAAGTATCAGTTGTTCTCAATTGGAAGAATTGAGGGGTTTAATTTTAATCCTAATTAAGTGTAATTTGTGTAAAAAAATTTCATACACTCCATTACAGCACAGAGTCTGTGTTTTATATCTTAAGTTCTTCTGCAAGATTACAAGAGAATGCTGATCCCAATTCACTTAGGTTCTTTAAAAGAAGGTGAAACAGTGTATAACACCAATATGTTATCTCCAAACTGGAGGAAATACACACACATACACAAATTAAAACCTAAATCAGTTCACTTTACAAGATAAAGTAATATACATTGGGTTGAATGTACCAGTATGTATATAAGTATACATTCTATCTATCTATCTATCTATCTATCTATCTATCTATCTATCTATCTATCTATCTATCTATCTATCTATCTATCCACGCACATACACACACACACAAGAATGAATTAAGGAAAAAACAGATTTTTTCTTGCTCCAAATCTATTATGTAATTATATTTAGCAGCTGTATACTGAAAAAGGATATTCTATTGCTAGAAAAGACATGCATAATCTCCATGATCAAGGAATTGGAGCAACCATCCTAAAATAAAAGGTTAAAGTAAGGCTTCCTATTTTAGAAGAAAAGCAAAATAGAGGGTAAAAATTATATATGGGTGAATCATTAAGGTAGTTTTTCTCCCCCTTCCTTTTCTTAATACTACAAATCAATATTGTTTAATAAATAATGGGAAATTCAGGTTGGATAAAAGCAGTACTACACACAATACTTTCTTGACATATAAAATTTGCAAAAGGTGTAGTGACGATAATACCAACATTAAAAAGAAAAGAGAAGAGGAAACAACAGCAAGGTGGATGGGCTCGGTAACAATGGATATACCACAAGGAACCTTGAAGGGCCAAGTTGGGGACAGATCAGTGGTGGGTTGCCCCCGGTTCGCACCGGTTCTATAGAACCGGTAGTAAAACTGGCGGGAGGCTCTGCCCACCAACCCCAACATCATCAAAACACTTCTGAGCATGCGCAGAAGCTTCTGCGCATGTGCACGGCCCCGCTGCAAACCAGTAGTAAAGGTAAGTAGAACCCACCTCTGGGACAGATCATTTTGGAGCACGTCTATCAACATGATTGCTAAGAATGACATTGAAATAATCAGCCAATCAGTTTAACGAATCAATGGCTCCGTGTCACAGTAATAACTATGTATGTAATGCTCCACTATGTCTATTGCTGGATAGCATGAGTAGGAATCTTTAGCATCTGAATGGCCACTCCAGAATCAGAATATGCCTTTGGTGACCCACCATGGTTCTTCTTATGATATGCTAGCATGGATGAAGTGTTGCTAAAGATCTTACGATGGAGGTAAAGAAGAAGCAACCACTTAGGTAAACTGCTGTGTGCAGTATGAAGCATTGGGGCCCAGACAAAGCCTTAGTAAATCCAAGAGAACTCCGCTTCTTTTGACAACTGTATGTCTAGACTAAGCAGTCATGTACAAAATAGGAAAACAGCTTTGACTTCCATTTTGGTCTCAGTTAATTTCCCCGTGCTATCAGCCATCACTTTTGCCCCAAGGCCAGAGTTCTGAGGTAGCCCTCAGCATCTCTGAAAAGGATTGTTTTTGGAACTGGGAAAGAATGGGAGATTTTTCTTCCACTAGAACAGTAGGGCTAACATTTTATTTGATTCATACTGCATGCTTCTACTCTACTTTATCTCAATCATTCTGACAGGATGATAGGAAGTAGAACTGCATCACTAGCTCAACTAAAAAAAAAATTAGATCTTTTGGCTCCTTTTCTTCCTTTCCAGATAGTTGTGAAAAGATGACTAAGAACCTCCAGTTGTATAATACTTGATTATTACAAAATGGATATAAAATTAAGAACTGTTTCCTGAATGATCTTGCTTCCCTTTCAATTCTTCCTTTTATTTCATCTCTTTTTAAATTTAGGGGAGGGACTCCTGAATTATTAGTAACCTAGTTTGGGAGCCATTCTAGCAAAGGAACGATGTATAAATTATAGTTTTAACCCTTTGATCTAAGTCACCGGCATCTCCTTAACAGAGGAATTCCATATTTCTGTAAATCCTTTTAAATATTTTAATAGCAATTAAACCATCATCTACTTCCCCTTCCCCAACATGTACACACACACGCACACACACACAAAATAAATGTAAATTGATGAATTATGGTTTCCTTTTAAGGGAATTTAGAGATTGCTAAATGCAATCACCCAATTGTTGCAACTCTCTCTGGAAAATTAAGTGATTTCTGTTCATTCAATTAAGGCAATTGCTTTATTTTAAATTTGTCTGCTACCAAATCTTAGTACTACTGCCTTTTGTACAAAATGTGCAAATTAATTTTGAAAAAATTACTTGTAAAAAGCACATTCTTTTAATATAGCCTTTTATGTTAAAATTATCTAAATAAAGATTTCAAAACTCAACCAAATCTGTCTGAATTCCATTTCATTTGTTATTCTAATGACACATTAATCAAATAACAGAATAAGGCAGGAATGTTCATCAGTCATTCTGTATCCTTCAACATCACTGCAAAGGTTGTTTATTATTATTATTAATTCAATTTGTATGCTGCCCCTCTCCGAAGACTCAGGGCGGCTCACAATGCATTTAAAATCATTATAAAAAACATTTAAAAATTAAAAACATTAAAACTCATTCACACCATTCATGGCCGGATCTCGCCGGATCGCAACAGCGAGATCAACGGCCCCGGGCCTGCTGGAAAAGTCGGATTTTCACCGCTTTTCGGAAGGCCAATAGGGTGGGGATAGTCCGGACCTCAGGAGGTAACTGGTTCCAGAGAGCTGGGGCAGCCACAGAGAAGGCCCTCCCCCGTGGGCCCACCAGCCGGCATTGTTTAGCTGACAGGCCCCGGAGGAGACTAACTCTGTGGGATCTTACTGGTCGTTGGGAGTTATGTGGTAGAAGGCGGTCTCGAAGATACCCTGGCCCTGAGCCATATAGGGCTTTAAAGGTAATAACCAACACCTTGAATTGTGACTGGAGACCAATAGAGAGCCAGTGCAGCTCGCGGAGAATTGGTGTAATGTGGGTGTACCTAGGTGCACCCATGACAGCTCGCGCGGCTGCGTTCTGGACCAACTGTAGTCTCCAAACACTTTTCAAGGGTAGCCCCATATAGAGCGTGTTGCAATAATCTAACCATGAGGTGACAAGGGCATGAGTGACCGTGAGGGGAGCCTCCCGATCCAAGTAGGGTGGCAATTGGTGCACCAGGCGAACCTGTGCAAAAGTCCTCCTAGCCACAGCTGTCAGATGTTGCTCTAATCTTAGCTGTGAGTCTAGGAGGACACCCAAATTGCGAACCCGTTCTGAGGGGGACAATTTCTCCCCCCCCGAACCATTATATATTGCGTTTGATGTTTATGATGTTTAATTATATTATTATTGCAAAAGTCCTCATTTAGCAACTGTGTTGTTTAGTGGTCATTCACAATAAAGATGGTGGTTAAAGTGCTATTTTACTTAGCAACCACTTCATTTAACAACCAACTTCATTGTCCCAATTGTAAGTCACTAGGTGAGAAATACCTGGGGCACTTTTAAAGAATGGATTCTGGTTCGGAAGGGTACAGTAAGAAAAGCAATTCACACTCTATTCTGGGTACCAAAAGAACACTGATTTTTCAAATAAGTTGCCTCAAATTAGGAATATACATAGGCACTAGATTTCGGTAATGATCTGATCTATCAGAATTCATGAAAGAGGTTGGAAATCTACACCGTGCAATGCCTTCCAAGATTATGGAAGCCACTGATCAGAAGAGAACGCAAGTCTAAGGCTGGTTTCATTCTTCATACTAAGGCATGATTTATTTTAGATTAGGTTGTGTGGATCCGGTCCTTGTATCTTATTCAACAAACTGTGGTCTAGTACAACCTGCAAGCCTAACCAATATGTTAGTGACTACATTCACACTAAATCCTAAATCACAATTTATTATTATGTGGATAAGCCTCTATAAGCCAGGCCAGATAGCCGGGCCTTGAATTTCTGTATTGTCATTATAACCCCAACTCAGTCACTAAATATATCACAAAATATTTGGCTTAACTCATAGACTGTTTAACTGAAAAAATCAGTCTGATTTATAGCATGGTTCTTGGTTCATATATAAATAACAAACCAAGATAAGTCTTCTTTCTTGTTGCAAGGGGGAGTACAAATCAAGGCTTCCACAGACTTGTACACATGGTCGTAAATCACGTCTTAGCATTATGTTGCAACCAGGTCAATACTCCCCCACCACCACCATGAAAAAAAAAAAAAAAAAGAGCCAGTGCTATGCAAAATGAATTCTCAGGCAACATGAAATAACTACAGTATTTCACTGAAAGGATAACTTTTCTCTCCAGGCAGATGAGAAGTCAGGTCTCAGTATCAAGTTAACAGCAAAATAAAAAAAGAGCAGCTGATTGGTCTTTTAGATACATGACGTGACATGGACATCAAACTAAGCTTTAGAAGGAAATAACACCCATTTCACACTGCATATGTTTATCAAGCCTGCAAGAAATTAGAGAAGCTGAAGAATAACTGCTTTCCTCTTGAGAAGTTCAAGATAACAGCAAATATAACATTGATTGAGCTTTTTGACATTCGGCATATTTATTGTACTTGATATTTACTAGCATGACATACTTTTCATAGCGATGTGACCTGGGAAGGAGTTAAAAAAAGAAGTGGCAATTTGGTCAATCTTGAGCAAAAGCAGTTTTGCTTAAAAAAAAAAAAGGCAACATACTGCCACTAGCCAATATGTATATATGTATATACCTACATTTCCCTATGAATTTTATTTTGTAATTGGTTTTATTTATTACTTATATTTGTAGTTACCCTTTTATTGTATTAACAATGCTGCATATCTGGATAGGTGTAATATATAGAACGTAACAATTCTGGTAGCCAACTGTAGATTTGATCTGTAGTTTTTCTATCTGCCAAGCTAAATCATTTGATCTGTTTCTTCAAGTCAGCAGAATTTCTAAGATATCCAGCCTTATACACTCTGCTCATGCTTCTAAATGGATTATAAGACAAACCTCAGAGATTTATTGTAGGCAGTAAATATGTCACTAATGCAGAATTACTGGACAGAACACACATAACTGGTGCCAAAAAAGCTTTTAGCTTTGTTGCTGAACTGGATTCTTTACTGCTGAGAAAATGAATTAATGGAGGGATTGGAGTAGGGGAGGGGGAATCTTTCCCGTCTTTGCTAGTAAATCAAACACATGATACTTTTAAAGGCAGGCAGGAGTAAGAAAAGGTAGCCTTAGAGATTAACACGAGTCCAAGTATTTATAGGAAAACATACTGTACTGGAAGTTATAAATAATTATTAGACACGTAACATTTTTTCCACTCCGCAAGGAAAGAGTCGGTTGGTACAAAATTCAAACTATTAAAAAAAAATGAAAAAGAAGGAAAGGATCATCTTATTTGAGAATTGAACTGAGATCAAAACATCTACTTTGAAAACGACAATATCATTTTGAGTAAAAACTATGCTTTAGTATTATTCCTCAAGGTTTTGCAAGGTAAGCAAATGAGATGAAGAACAGATTAGCTCCAATGGCAGCTTTGCCTCAGGGCTACCATATCTGGTCTGCAAAACTGTGGATAACTGGCTAAAGGGCAACAAAGAAATATTGAACGTCCTGTTTTGCTGCCATCTAGAGGTCATCAAGATTTTTACAACCCAGATATACAATAGTAGTCCAGCTTTTTGCTACAGGAACATTTGCAACGAAGTGATCCCTCAAACAAACAGCAAAATGTGTAATTCCCCACTTGTAGTAGAAGTGAAGCAATACATAGTACCATCTCTGGTCTCCACCATGTATATGGAAGGATTACACTAAGTAATCCTTAGTAAGTGGGACACAGGTTTGTTGTTCTCCAATGCTGCTCTGTTACCTTCACAGTTTTTCCTGTCAAAATACTGACTGGCACTTAAACCAAACAGACTGTTTACAATAATCACCCCCTTTAGGGGGTGATTAACAATATGAGAGAACTGTATTGCAGTGTTTTCTTACACTGACAATTACATACTTCATGGAAAAAGACTGAAAACTGCATTTGTAATGTGCAATAATCAATATTTAACTCAATTATACTTTGTTTGGAATTCACAAAATTTCTGCACACCATTTTCTCAACATGAGAAGAATTTTGCATGGTAGTGAACATAAGAAACTTACCAATTCCTGTTTGACTGGATGTTCCTTTGGATTTATTCCTTGTGTAGCAAGGTACACTGCAAAGTGAATTTATTTATATCAGAATTAATTAGAAATATGTAGCAGTATATTCTTCACTATGTATTTAAAATATAGGAATGCATGACTGGAAAAGTCCTTTGTTAAATCCTTAACAATCAAAATGTAAAATGTTTAAGACTTGGGAAAAGAGTGTATTTTGGTATTACAAAATTAAGTGCCGGTGTAAGTGCAAGGAACTTCACAAGAAAGAGTTTGCTTGTTTGTTTGTTTATTTGTTTATTTACTTATTTGCTAACCTCTCACGCAAGTAGCCACACAAAATAGCTTAATATTTATTTAATTGCTAAGACATCACTCAGTTCCAGAGATTCAGGCAGCTGACATTCCAACAAAATTCATAATGTAAATATCACAATAGCAATATAAATATAATGAAAAGGGGGAATTATTTAAAACTCATATGAGTATTAAAGATCATTAATGTTTAAATATGCCATTAGATGCAGATTCATCCTTTATGTCATTATACATTTCTTACTCTGCACACTTACCCCAAAACATTGAATTCAATGTATAAGCAGAGACCAAATCTATTTTGGCTTGTTCAAGAGGATCTAGCTGAAATGAGAAAGATAAAATTATCTTCGTAACGTTTTAATGTACACTATATCATCAGATTAAATGACAGCCTTGATGAAAATCACAGTGAATGCCATTCCTTCCACAACCTAAAGCTAGATGCACAATAGAACTTTGCAGCGGAAATCAAACATAACACTTTTAATTTAACAGAATAAAAGAGTTGGAAAGGACCTTGAAGGTCTTCTAGTGCAACCCCCTGCTCAAACAGGAAACCCTATAGCATTGCAGACAAATCGTTGTCCAGTCCCTTCTTAAAAACCTCGAGTGATGGAGCACCCACAACTTCTGAAGGCAAATCGTTCCATTGATTACCAGTAATCGGTACTGCAGCTACTTCAACTGACTGCTAGTTCAGCAGATCAGCGGATCAAATCTCACCAGGCTCAAGGTTGACTCAGCCTTCCATCTTTCCGAGGTGGGTAAAATGAGGACCCAGATTGTTAGGGGGCAATATGCTATTTAGTATACTGTCTTTGGTGTAAGCCGCCCAGAGTCCTCGGAGAGTGGGCGGCATAGATATATGACAAATAAATAAATAATTGTTCTTACAGTCAGGAAATGTCTCGTTTTCTAGGCAAATCGTTTCACTGATTACCAGTAATTGTTCTCACAGTCAGGAAATGTCTCCTTTTCTAGGTTGAAAATTTCACCTTCTTGTTTCTGACATCATACTTTCAAATAGTTTAAGAAAATTGGGTATGAACAGAATTTAACGTCTAGATAGGTGACCAAGTTTTGACTTTGAGATGCCTATTAAAATATTCTGTATCTTGTATCCTATATAAACATAAACATAGCTATTCAAAAAACCCTCAGTATATGAATAAGCTTAAGAAATACCAGTTTTAAAATTAAAAGAAAATAAGTTTGGTCACTAGAGGCCATTTGGACTCCACACAGTAGTTCTGAAAGCATGCAATGTGACAAACATTTTGCATGCCTTGTAATGTTTATAATACATGGCTAAGGTAGGCCTCTATAATGCAGAACAAGACATTCTTTCATCTAGGCTGAACAAATGAGTTTACAAGTCTTTGAAAAAGATTCAGACAGGGATTCCCTATCTGTAGTTTAGACTTTTATTCCTTATGCTCTTGTTCTCACCTAAAACAGAGTATGTGTTTTTTCTTGAAAAATGAGAGAACCGTTGTCTGTTTGAATTGTTTCTCTCAACTCAATGCCTTCTAGTTGTGCTGAACATGAACTCCCATCAGCCAGCTAAGCCCATCAGCCAGCTAAGGAATTATGGGAATAAAGTCAAGAACCTCTGGTGGACACCTGCCACGTCATTTTTTTGCACAATTCATGACTCTAAAATATCATGACAGCACATTAAAAGGCAAAAACAGTTTTGGCTGCCAATGCCAATCTATCATTTTGCTCCTCTAGGACTTCTAAAAACACAACCCACAAGTTTGAACAGGAAACCTGTCAAAGGGCTATATTGTAAAGCTGTTGTGCTCATAGTTTATTTTTGACTGAAAGGCTGAAGACTTCAGGGGTGAAATTTCCTGATATATGAGCTCTCATTTTGACCCAAAGAAACGACAAATTGGATGTTCATAGGTATTTGTACAAAGAACTCAGGCAACATCTTGTGCTGTTGCTGCAGGTTAAAAAAGGAAACAAAGGATACTTTATATATTCCTTTACTTTTTTAAAAAAAACTTTCCCTGATACATAGCACAAATTCATCTAAATTAAACATTTTTGGACTTTCCATACCAGAACTCCCTTCTAGAGACAAGGAAAGCATGAAATATACTTTGCTTTTTAGTCACTATGCGTAACCCACTCAAGTGTTAAGAAAGCACCGAGCCCCTGCCATTTTTATTTATTCTAAATCTCTGTAACTGTAATTCTGTAACATCATCCAGATATATTGTGCTATAGCTCCAACCTATCCAGCAGCATGGATAAAAAAGAATTATAAGAATCATAATCAACGAAATATGCCTATGTGCAGAAAGTTAAACTGGGTTGTCTCTCAAGTCAAGTTCATCAAGGGAGCAAGCAAAAATTAAACAGCAGCAAACTGTTCCTTGCTCTCATCCTCTTCTTACCTTCTGGAGGAGTTCGTTTCTGGATATGGACATCATTGTCTTCAACACGGCATCTACTGAACCAACAGCTGTTTCAAATGCTAAAAGGTAATCATGAATCTCTGTGGGGTAGTCTTCTTCGGAAGGATCCATTTTCAAGATGACACTCACTACCTCAAAAACTACCAAGAAATAATTAAGAAAACAAAGATTGTTCACAAATGGTGCCAAACCATACTGAATAGGTCACAACTGTCTGGATTCAAATATGCTATAGAAACAATATAAAACACGAGCTATACTGTTTGTGAAGTAGCAAAACAGTATGGCATTAAGGTTACCACTGCCCTTAACTTGCAGGATGTAAATCAAAGATACATAAGAGAAATTCTGGGCCCTTCAAAGAAGGGTAGTAGAGGTAAGTCCTCGCCTTACAACAGTTCATTTAATGACCATTCAGTTACAATGGCACTGAAGGTGATTTATGTGCATTTTTCACACTAGGACCATTGCAGCATTCCCCTGGTTACATGATCACCTTTTGCAACCTTCTGACAAGCAAAGTCATTGGGGATGACAGATTCACTTAACTGTAGCAAGATGGGTCGTAAAATGGGCCAAAAATTACTTAACAACTTACTTAACAACAGAAAATTGGGGCTCAATTGTAGTTGTACGTCGAGGACTACCTGTAGTATCAACAACTGTCATAACATAAACTTGTTCTATTGCCAGGTTTAAGTGTGATATAGCAGTGTGACCGTGCCTCTTAAATGCAGGAGGTCTGGTAACATTTGAGATTAACATCAAAATGAAGACTCAGTTACTTGGCCAAACACCATTCTAGGCCCAACTGTTTACATAGCAGAACAGCTATTCTGGAATAGGAAGTAATTCTTTAATATATAATCTGATGGCACTAATATGTTGCAGAAATAGCAAACACTGAAATTACCATCATAAAAGACAACACTCAGGACCACACAGGTCCATCAAGTTCAAATCCTAATAAAAATAATTTTTAAAAATAAAGGTTATCTACTCTGCATCATCTCCACCTGTTCAACAATAGTCATTCACAATGGTAGCCTGAGTGATCCGTATTCCCACCTTCAATATTCAAAAATGAAGTTTGCTCTGATCGAGAGTTATTTCGTACCTTTGAGAATCAAAGTGATATAGCTGGGTTCATAAAACACAGGAAACCAAAACTAAACGTTTCATATTAAAGTTCTGCAAAATGTAGGAACTGTGAATGATAAACCATGTTTTGTGACCTAATGTGATGTGACTTAAAGAGTGATGATGAATAATGTGATGTAAAGAGTTTTGATGGGAGAGGTTGGGATATAACTTCAAAAAAAGTTAAAACAAATCAAGACTTAAGGCAATACATTAATGACTTAAGGCAGTACGAACATGTTGCTGCAGTTATAGAACAATTATTTAATTTTTAAAAGAAAACTGAAATGGAGAAACAGTCTGTCAATTAATCATTTAGAGTAGTTTCACGATATCTTCAGATATAGAAAAATATTTCTAGTTAATTAGAAAATCAATATATTTATTAAACATGCTCACAAAAATTGCCAAATGCACAGCTGATTGTTACAATTTACCCAGTACCAAAATATTTGTGTTACTCAGCACAATATTTTGCACCAGAGGTGGGTTTCAGCAGGCTCTGACCAGTTCTGGAGAACTGGTAGTTGAAATTTTGAGTAGTTCGGAGAACCAGTAAATACCACCTCTGACTGGCCCTGCTCCCATCTATTCTCTGCCTCCCAAATCCCAGCTGATCAGGAAGAAATGGGGATTTTGCAGTAACCTTCCCCTGGAGTAGGGAAGGAATGGAGATTTTACAGTATCCTTCCTCTGCCACGCCCACCAAGCCATGCCACACCCACCAAACCACACCCACAGAACCGGTAGTAAAAATTTTTGAAACCCACCACTGTTTTGCACATATAATGAAACAAACTGTATCTCACCAAAGTTTATCACGATTTCTCCCAAAATGGCAATCTCTCAATATCACGAGTCCTTATAGACAGTCAGATTTACTTCCACCTATACAAAAAGTCTTTTCTGCCTATACACAGTCATTTGATTTCTTCCTGAACTTTCTCTGACCATTTGGATTCACTGAATCTTAATTTACTTAATGTGGATTCTATGTTATGGTATAAACTGCTTAGCGTTATATAATTGAATTGGCCTAAAAGCATTGGTAATAAATAAGCAACAAACCACCTAAGAGGCTATTCTACCAAACAAAAACAGTAATTAGAAACTCCAAAAATATTTAGGGGTTTCTAAATTCTCCCAGTCATAAAGTGAAAGACAAACAGATAATTAAGCAGAGTCACTAGGGAAACAATACCAAATGGAGAAACTAGGCTGAACAAATTATCGTTTGAATCTGATGCTAAAATGACTTTGCTAAAATGAGGAAATACAATTTATAATCTTTGATTAGAGAAAATATAATATCTACATTTATTAGTGACTGGAAGCCTCTTGTGGATTTTTTGTGCAAAAGTGAACTTGTGATTTACAGTTTTGATGATTTAATAGATTATAGAAAAGAGAGTTATGATGTAGCTTAGACAAAGAGGAAAATGTATAAAGTACTTATAACTAATGTAAAAAAAACCAGGAAGCCACTTCTATCTTTATTCTTTCTTTGCTGTTTTTCTTCAACATTTTTCTTTTCTTGTACTTTTGCCATTTTGTTTATGTTTCTGTATCTTCCTCACTTTATAGTAGTTTGTGTTAGTTTTTACTTTTTGTTTATATTTTTTAAAATAAAAGTTATATACAATTTTATATACAACCTATACAATGAGATACAACTAAAGGTGCTAAGCTTCCAAATCCCAATTGGAAGGGAGCAGTGGAGGAAGTTTCCCTCTGCTGCTTGCAAAAGAGAAACTGTGAAAAACCAAAATGGAGGCTGGATTTAGGAAGGCAATTACTCTATACTGCAGCAGGAGGACACACAATTATACTAATTAGGATACACATGGAGACCAAAGAAATATCTTGGTTTTTAAGAGACATGGCAAACATTTAAAAGTACATGTTTTTGTTTTCTGAGTTCACTGACTCCTTAAATATTGGTTTTTAGGAATATGAATAATGCCAACCTTTAAAAAAGGTTTTCCCTTGCAAATTCCTATTTACCAAACATCAACTCCTAAGAGTTCCTACATGGAATATATACTTCGTAGACTTTATGGTATTGTTTCAAATATTTAATATATAGGCCAGGTTCAAACCTCTGTTAAGCCATGATGTTTAACCACTGCATGAATAAGTCACAAACTGGATGCACATATACCATAAATCTTGGTTTACAAACTACAAAGGTTAGATTGCATAACTAGACTCATGAAACATTCAGAGCCCAATTATAGAAAAACACAACATTGAAATAAGGGAAAGTCATGTCCTATTAAAACTCTTGAATCATATGAAGCATAAAAACATAAGCATTCAGGAAACTGCCATTTAATCAATAGCTTTAAATGGCAATTGATGGACTCTGTAGAATTATGAAGCAGGACAAAAAGTATAAAAAATTGGCTTTTCAAGAAACAAGTCTATAAATGGATTCTGGCATTTGGTAACTTTTACTTGTTGAAATACACACGCACAACCCCTTAACAAACTGGGTTCACATATTACACTAAATGATGATTTAAACTAGGACTACCAGATCTAAGCTGCAAAAATCCAGAAGATCACTAGATAAGAGCAATGAGTTGCAGACAACTCTTTATCATTTTGTTGCCATTTCATGGCCATCCAGATTTGTGTACCCCAAATGTGATAGCTTCAATTAAGCATGGCTTATTGAATGAACCCAACTGATTAGCCTCCCACATTCTGCCATGCCAAAACCAGGTAAACAACACTATCGTATGTAATGCCGTATGAACCTAGCCAGAGTTTTATTTTGGAAAATGGTAAATAAAACTGACCAAATTTCTCCACGTTGAAAAATACTGAAAAACCGTATTCTGTCTTGGCATCTATTTTCAGTTATACCATACAGGATAAAGCATCATGTTAAGAGATTGGATTTGCCCTAGTGGACCAAAGTGCATCAGTTCCACTGATATAAGATGGGGTGCTTCTATTTTACCCATCAGTCTCTCAGAGAGATGCTACAACATGGCACTTTATAGTGGCATAGCCCAGATTGTTCCAACATCCCCCCAAATCCATAGCAGCATCTTTTCAAAATGATACAGGGGATAAGAAAGGAGGCTAGAAAGTGGTTAAAATCAGGCGTCAAGTGGCCTGCCACAACCAGAGCAGCTAAGTAGAACTTCCAGCTAAAGCACAGCCTTAGCAAGCCAAGGTCTTTCTTTAGCCTATTTATTGTCCAGCAAAGGCAATAATAAAGAGATGATGGCACTAACCCCACAAGGTGTAACTTCTCCCTCAAAAGTCCCAAAGGTGCTTTTTTTTTTTTTTCAAAAGGCAACTGGACTTTGTTTTTCCTTGAAGATGTTTTGCTTCTCATCCAAGGAGCTTCTTCAGTTCTGGCTGTCAGAACTCACCCAAGGAGCTTCTCATCCAAGGAGCTTCTTCAGTTCTGCCTTGGATGAGAAACGAAACGAAACGTCTTCAAGGAAAAACCCAGGAAGTCCAGTTGCCTTTTGAAACAAGCACCTTTGGGACAACCATGACCTGGATGACTGAGAAGCTCCATAGACAGGTCCCTCTCAAAGGCCTGCTCAGCTGGCCCGTCCTTTGCGCAGTGGAAAAGGATGTTTCGGCCACGGCTGCTCCCAACCTTCAGGGCCGCGCACCCCGTTTTGACGACAAGATCAACGTGGCCAAAGGAACCACCCACCGCAAGCGCCATCCACCTACCCAGCCTCCTGCAACGCTTCCGCGCGAAAAGAAGGGCGCAACCTCCCCACCACCGGCCTCGCCTTCCCTTGCCGTGACGGAGGCGAATGCGAAAGACGAGACGTAAGCAGGCGGAGCTACAAGTATTTGCTCCCGACCGGCTAGTCCCGCAATAGTAATGGAAGATTCTTCCCAACGTAGAAAGGTGGTCCAATCCGATCCCTTTCCTCCCCCTCCGCCTTTCACCAGCCGCGATCCAAAGAGTGGGATCAAGTTGCTTTAGTAATGCGGCGCGCCCCTCCGGGTTTGGCGCAGTAAAGGCAGAAGCCTGGCAAGGAAACAGCCGGTCGGCTTGCTTTGAATGGTGATTATTTAGAGGCAGGCACGGGAAGGTGATTCTGTTTCCCGCTGTGGTCCTGTGGGGAAGGCATTTCGGCAGGCGATGCATTGTCAGCGGAGGAAAAGGAACAAAAAAAGGTCGACGGGGGCATATCAGTACGGTTGCTATTAAAGGAGCTTTCTCGGCTTAGCGCCCGCCCTCCCTAAAAATGGAAAGCCAAGCTTTAGGAAGAGGCCTGAGGTGGGTCGGAAGAGGCTGCAATGCTCCTGATTTATTTAAATCTAAAGATTTAGATTTTTAATATTATTTAAATTTAAATAAATTTAAAGTTTATAAAATAAACTTTATTGTCAAGTTTTCCCCAAGTGTCCTGGTCTATTTCAAGGTTTGTTCGGTCGTGTGAAAGCGTGTGCAATTACATAATTCAATCCTAGCTTATTTCTCAGCCGCTAGTGGCGCTCGGATATTACTTTTAACTCCGAAACCTAATAGTGTGGTTAGTTGTGGCTGGGGGACGACCCAGGACTCTTGGGGACGCAGACTAGAATAGGAAATTGAAAAACCTCATGGAAGAAGGTAGGGGCACAGTGCTTCCATATTAAATGTCTAGAAAACTGCCTGGGAGTATCCATTTAATGACCACTGCCAATTTTATTATCCACAAATACCAACAGCACTTAGACTTATATACCATTTCACAGGGCTTTACAGCCCTCTCTAAGCGGGTTACAGAGTCAGCATATGGCCCCTAACAATCTGGGTCCTCGTTTTGCCGACCTTGGAAGGCTGAGTCAACCTTGATCCGATGAGATTCGAACTGTCAAACTTCTGGCTGTGGAGACAGAAGTGTGAGAGGGGAAAACGTTTCAGAGAAGGACACCCCACCCCATATAGTCAGTTTTGTCCTGGGAAGACCTAAAACCAGTCAAGTGACCCATTAAACATACGTAGCCCACCAACAGAAAGAACTGGAGAAATTGAGCAGCTGAAAAACGCCCTTTACAGGACTAGATGTTGAACTTCAGCACTACAGGACACACTTCTCAAACCTTGATTGGCTACAGTGATCCAGTAATGCCTGGCCAGTGGAGTGGATGGTAGCAATGTCATTAAGCCTTATCAATACTTTCCTGGTATTAAGCTCATGGCATACTTCATACTTGAGAAAATAGATGGGGAGCTCTTAAAATGACTGCAGCTAGAAGCATTAAGAGATTTGATTACATTAATGGCTGAGAGAGTTAAGGTGGTGTAGGAACAGGGCTGATGTGTTCCCCACACTTCCATAATCCTCAATTTGTCTTGCTATCTGGCAAAATCTGATTTAGACTGGATTGTGTTAGATTGTTATGTGGCTTCTTCACTTTGAGCTTTATGTAAACCCTGTCCTTGTGATTTATGACTTACCACTTTCTGTGAACCTTGGCATTATGATTTCTTCATTAAATCAAGACCAAAACCCATGGCATAGCCAGCTTTATATCTCCATGCTGGACCATTCTAGTGATGCTATAGAGCAGTGATGGCTAACCTTTTCTGGACTGAGTGGCCAAAGTGCGCGTGCACCCGAACCCCCAAAATGCAATGCGTGCGTGGCCCCCGCACATACACCCCCACACACACACATGCACACGTGGGCTCCCGCATGTGCCCCGCCCCCATGCATGCACACACACATGCCCCCCGCCCCCTACGCATGTGCAGCAGAGACCCGAAGATCTTAAGTTATAAAGGCACTTGAGCCCATAGAAATAGTCTTAATCAAGTAGAAGTGCAGCTACGAAACATCAGCTTTTCTAACCTTTCCCTCAGTAGCTGCAGTTTGCTGAGACAATAATTTTCATCATGTACAGTATATTATAGAATGGTAGCTATCCATGATCCTGATTGCTGCTCATTTGAATCTTCTGGTTTCCTTTGGATATGTTTAATTCAGCCTGCCTTTCTTTCCCTTTGAGGTAGATGCAAGCCCAGGCTCCCAAAATAATTATTGCTTTGCCAGCCTTCACGTTAACTAATCTGATGGGGATGCTGCTAACCAATCTTGGGTCTGATTTGTGATCTCTGCATATATAGTTACAGCCACTTCATTAAACTGGATCACAGACTTCTCCCACCACTGTGTTGTGGCCCCGCCCTCTGAGCCTGTCCCATCGGAGGAAGAAAGCTCCGAGCATGAGGAAGAGGAGTCAGCCAGGCCTCCCTCTCCAGGCCCCTCCCCTCTGGCACTGTCTCAGGTGCCAGCCGAGGGAGAGGAGATTAGCAGGGAGACAGGTGGCTCGGATGAGAGCGAGGGAGAGACATAATTCCTGGATGCACGCCTCCGAAGGCGTGATAAACGATTGCAGCAGCTCAGGAGGCGTGCTAGGGATTAGAACTGAGTCACTGGACCACACCCCAGAGACTATATAATAGAGGGTGGTGGCCAGCGATCCCTGTGACGAACAAAAGTAAACCTTGGATAGTCACTAAAGCCTCGTCCGGAAACTGCTGAGAGGAATATTATTCTGATTGGACTTTTGTACGCTAAGTATCTTATCTTTCTGTTTTGTGGAAATAAACGCACTTGGCAGACGGTGTGTAAATCGCTGCCAAGTTGGAGATAAAGACCTGGGTGTGTGCCAAAGTGTTTCCTTAACCCTCGGCTGGCTGTGTTTGTGTGTGTGTGTGTGGACGGGGACAGATCACACTGGGCCCTTGCCTTTCACTCCAACCTTCCTATGCCTCACTAGCTCAACCTCTTTAATTGAAGTCTACTTGGTTGCATCTGCAGAAGCATTTCTTATCCTTGTTCCTTTACATACAGATGTAAATTTTAGGGTGTTAATTTCTGACTTGTTTACTGTAGTCTGGTCAATAAGTATGAACAAAAGGGACCCAAAAGAAACCATCCTCATATTCTAGAGCCGTGATGGCAAACCTATGGCACGCGTGCCACAGGTGGCACGCAGAGCCATATCTGTGGGCACGTGAGTGTTGCCCTAGCTCAGCTCCAGCGCGCATGTGCGCATCGGCCAGCTGATTTTTGGGCCTTCCGGGCCCACTGGAAGTCGGGAAATGGGCCATTTCCAGTCTCCGGAGGGCCTCAGGGGGGAAGGTGTTTTCACCCTCCCCAGGCTCCAAGGAAGCCTCTGGAGTCTGGGGAGGGCGAAAAACGGGCCTACCGGGCCCACCATTTGCCGTCATGTGCCAAAAGCGGGGGTAGCGCAGGGGGGTTGCGTGCACATGCATGGGGATGCGGGGTGTGGGGGGGCATTAAATTATGGGTGTGGGCACACGCACGCACAACCGCCCTATGCTCCCCATGCTTTTGCACGCGATGGCAAAAAGGTTAGCCATCACTGTTCTAGAGACTATGGGAGAGCTCATGAATCTCATGAATTCCTGTTGCTATTCAAGGTTAAATAGCTACACAGTCTGGACGTATGAACTGAAAGGAAAATAATTTGTAATTCATTATTTCTGTTAGATTGCCAATAAGGAATCAAACCGCATTGTGATGAATATACATCGGAACATTCTAGATCCCATTTTTCCACCCTTGACTTTCTATCTGATAATACAAGAAATACCAGAGAGGAGGAAGACTACATTGCCATAAAACTTTAGTTAAATTAACTGCAGTTAAGCTTTCATTAACTGAAAAATCTCAGCTTTTTGGTAGCTCTTTGTACTGAAGAGCTACCAAAAGTTGAGATTTTTCATATTCTCATTTTCATATTCATCCCTTCCAGAAATGTGATCAAAGCAACTTGACTTCTAAATTTGTTTAAAATGTGGATTTTGTACCGAAGCAGACAAATGAAATCCTTTTGTACAAGGGGGAACTGCTATTTTTTTTCAGAACCCATTATAAATAAGTCTGCATTCAATCAATCTAATGAATCACCATGACTTGGTCAGCACAATAAATTATTTAATTATTGTTGCTGTTGTTGGATTTAAAACTCTCTTTGAATCATAAACTAACCAAACTGTTTGCTAGTACATTAGATTAAAATGTGATTGGCTAATTGTATTCAGTGTCACTATATTCATGTAATGCTTATCCATGATTAATATAATCATAGCTCAATTAACCCAGTTAATTACATTTCACATAATGTGCTGACCATTTATCTATAGGGGCTATGATTTGTGGTTCAATTTGTCATGCAAACCATTATGTCATACAACCATAAAGCCATAATACAAGCCACTATGATAACAGTTTCTTAATAAACCCTTGGGAATCCTTAGAAATCCTATAGGTAGCTTCTCTGACATACTTGTTTCAATGCTTGTCATACAAACCCTGTTTTATCTTGCTTGATTTTTCTGTAATATGCCCAATCTCCCACTAGAGGACAGGGTGACTATATTCTTGGCTGTTTCACATAATCTAAAATCATTATACTTAAATAATCCAAAAAATACAATTTTTATTTGACCCTTATATTTTAGCAATTATATAAATATATCAGGTAAATTACATCTATATATTTAAATGACATCAATCTGATTAACATCTATAATATCTCAATCACACATTTTAAGGACATTTATTTTTAAAGGCAGAATATTTACTGATCTGAACACATGTTAATGTTTAAACAGGTAGTCAATAACAAATCTAATCTATTAAAACAGCTGTTCAAATTTTAGTCAGTGTAATCCAAAACATAGGGTATTTAAAGTACTCACGAATTCAAAATAATTAAAATAATTCATTTAAAGAAAATTGATTATACTGCAGTAATTCTACTATAAGCAGCTTGGATTTAAAAGTATCTGTAACAGTGAATAGGTCTTAATATGTTAAACTACAAGTGCATTTTCTAGAAATGTAAAATCCACAGTTAAAGAAAACTTTTTCACATCTTGTGTCTTCTCAATAAATTTCCAAGTTTGTTCAAGGACAGAGATGGAAAGTTTTTTACTATTAGAAATCCTGTCAAATTTTGTTCAATTTTGTGACTATGAGTACTCTCACAGTCTGGTCAAATGAGCTGCAGACACAGAGACCACGTTTGTCAGGACTCCAGTCAAGACTCGAAATTGGCTGAGTTGATAATGTCACATTCTGTAAAAGGCTAACTGAACCAGCTACTCCCATTTCTGTTCCTTCTGAATCCTTCTTAGAG